AAACTACTATTGAATTAAATAAGTAATAAAAAATTTGGTTAAGCGAAAAGCATCAAAAAAATGACTACAAAGTGTTTTCTTGATCAGCATTCCGCAAAACTTTTTTCTGCTGTAAAATATCAAAAGTAAACAAAAAAAATAAGCAGAAAAAAGTGGAGCAAAAAAAGTTGAGAAATTGAAGAGGAGAAGAAGAAGGATAAGAAAAAAAATTAGGTGAACGAAAAAGTTACAGTTATTAAGGAGCAAAACCTATGCGTGTATCCGACAGCTTATTCGGTTAAAAAACTTAGATGAGATATTGTACAATTTGTCAACTGTCAGAAATAGGCCGTTTTGATTATTTAAAGGGTTAAACAGAAATGACTTCTCTTTTGCTGAACGTTATTCACAAATCTTTACAAAAAAAATAGAATTACTAGAATACCAGTTTATAAAATAGCATAACATCTAAAAATCTAGTCATTTAGTGGTCATGACATTGGATGACAGCATTTATCGGAAGCATTTTCGTCGTTTATCAATCATGACTAAACGTATAGAAACTGTTGGTAACAAAAACGTAAAACGAAGAAGTCTACCGGTTAAATGAATTTTTTTTTGGCACTAAAATATGAACAATATTTTTGAAGGAAAACTGAGCGTAAAATCTGAATGAATAAGTTGTGTTCTGAACCACCAAAAACAGCAGCTAGGCGTGTGACTTGGTCTTGCTTACTCAGTCAGCAATTTTAGTCTTTTAACCTTTTTAAAACTCTCCATATATTTTTTTATGACTTCATCTTTATCTTCTTCTGAAGTCCCCAACTATCTCCTTTTCAGTATTTATCCTCAGTTATAACCCAACTATATCTTCATTCTTTTCGCGACATTATCCTTATCACCTCAGCCTGTTAATCCTCCTTTCTCACTTTTTATATCCCTTTTAGTTTTTAACCTTGTTTCCGCTACTTATTACTTCACTTTTATTCTACTTTATTGTTTTCGTTTAGTTAAAGCAAATATCAAATTCAGTGTTCAGTATTAAAAAAATACAGGAAGTATTGTTAACATTGTTAAAACAACCAAAATCACAATCACAACAGTAACAGCGATGAGTACAAAGAAAAAGCGCAGATCACAGATATTCACTTACTAAAACTACTCCCAGCTAATTTTAAATATCACATTTACATCGCTTGTTCTAAATGTATAAGAGGAAGACTGAGATGAAATCAAAGTAACTTTCTTTTCCGGTTTTTAATTTCAATTTTCGCAACAATAGAAAAAAAAAGAAAAAATGAAATTGCTTTTTTTTGTTTGCTAATACTGCAAAAAAAATTTTTTTTTGCTTGGTTTGTTTGTTGTTGCTGTTGTAAGAAAGTGTTACTAAGGTATAGGTTTTCAGTTTAACTTAAGATGAAATTGTATAAAATAGTGAAAGAAAAAAGAAAGATTTTTTTTTTTGAAAAAAAAAAATGCGTAATTGTAAATAGAGAAAATTTTGAAAAGCGCTAACCTTAGGGCAGCCGATCGCATATTTGCAATTAGAAAACACAACTGTTTGGAGTACTCCAATTTGCCGTCGTTGCTGTTGCCGTTGTTGTCGGTGCTGTTGCTGTTGCTGTTGCTGTAGCTGTAGCTGTAGCTGTTGGCGGTGGTGGTTGTATTAGTGATGATAATAGTGCAATCGAGAAGCCGATGGTTTGCTCGGTCGTCTTTCGAACTGGAAAATCAGTGAAAACAATAGCTTTTGTGTGTTTGTTAGTGTGTGTCTGTGTCGGTGTCTGTGAGTGTGAATATATCGAAAGATGTGTCAAATGTTCGTTTAGCTGATTAGTTTGTTCATTTTAGCCGATGATAACGATAATATAGTTGCAAGCTAAAAAGCAGAAAAGAAAAAACAGACAAAGAACAGAGAAGCGAAAAAAAAAGCAAATATAGGAGAAAATAATTCTCCCTAAGAATTTGTTTTTTTTTTTTCTTTTTTGCTTTACCAAAAGATGAAACGTTACGTTTTACATTCAAAGATTTTCGTAACTTCACAGGCAACTTGAAATTAAAAAATTTTAGTTTTTCAATTAAAATTCTGTTAATTGTTTGCCTTTCGACTGCAATTCAACGTTTGAACAACGCTCTAATCTGCGCTTTCTTCCGTCTACAATTTGGTGAATTTAAATCTTACTGGTTTGATTTTTGTAATAGCTCAAATTTTACTTACTTTGATGTAATTAAGTAATTTTTTGTCTGTAAAAAAAAAAAAAACAAAATTGGAAAATTAAAAACTAGAAAGTTATCATATATAGTTAGATGCTGAATAAAAATCCAAAATTTTTTTTTGGTAATTTAGATGAGGAATTTGAATAGACTGAACCGATTACTGGTGAGAAGGTAAAACAAATTATAAATACCACAAAGACAGTATCTTAATTTCTTCTATTACTCTTATTTCTTTTTATCAACGAACTTCTCCTGATTTTACATAATGCATTAAAAAGTCTTCAAAATGTTCATGTTGTAAAAAAACTTTTGTTTTGTACAGGCCAAAATCTGTAACTACTGATAAAAATTGTTCTAATCTTTGCTACTTTGACAGTCATAGTCCGTGTTTTACTGTTTTGCATTAAAGTGTATTAAAATTATAAAAAGTAACTAGTATACAAGTATAAAAGCCTATTAATTAATTTATCATAGCAAAAATGTTCAAGTCAAATAAAAAGGTTTACTACCTACTGGTGTGTCGGTGAAGTCAGTACTGTTTGAATTAGCACTAAAAAGAGAAGCTTGCAAAAAACAGCAACAAAAATTGAGAATAAAGAAAATAAGAATGAAGCAAAGAGGCTAATAAATGAAAGAATTTTTCTTGCAATACAAATTCCATAAGAGGTTTGCGGAAATTCAACTTAATAAAAAATTGAAGAAATAGATATTTGACGAAAAAAAAGTTAATCAAAATGTTTTTTTTTTTGTACTTTGGACGTTCTTTTTTTTCAGTTTTAAACGAACAACTATACACAGCGTTATATCCATTAAAAATATACTACTGTATATTACAGTAACCATAGATGTTTATCAGTTGTTTTTGTTTTTAATGACAGTTATTAGTTATAACGGAATACAGTAAAAGTAATAACATTGACGACGATGACAACACAAACTATTGACAGTTCTTAAGCAAAAACTAACTGAATATAGTTTTACGTTTTGCAGCACGCCGTTTGTTCATTCGTTCTCTTACGTATCCCACATACAACAGCAGAATAAAAAAAAAAAGGCAGAAAAAATAGAAAAAAATACAGCTTTTTTTTTTGAGGAATCTTTCGCTGTTGATTGCTGATAAAAGATTTTTGATAAAAAATTGTGTAAAAATTAGCGAAACAAATTCAGCATTTGGTTATTTTTTTTTCTAAATTTTTTTTTAAGGTATACTATGAAAAAATAATTGTTGTACTTTGAGGTAATGAGTAATGCTCAGAATACAGTTGTTGTCGTTATCATTTTTTTTTTGTCGGAATGATCAGTAGAACTGTTAATTTTATTTCAGAAAAAAAAAAAAGGAAAGAGAACTGTCTTTTTGTCTCTTCTCTCTCGTTTGTCTCTCTCTCTCTCTTTGTACAATTTGATTTTGAGAAGAGAGTTAATAGTCCGAAAATAAATTAGGTTTATTAAGCATCCAAGCAGTTTCAAGGCAATAATAGATGCCTAATCAAATGTTATACCGATAACTTCCGTAAATTTTTTTGTTTTTTTTCCCCAGAAATATTAAAATTGATATGTCACAGTATTGCTGTTTTGATAATTGAGTAAAAGATATGAAAAATACCAACATATGTTTAGTCTTATAATGTTTAGTCTGCTTATGGCACAGTTATTAGGTGCGAATGTTGAAAGAAAGTTATGAGAATCAGTTGTTTGACAAATTTAATGTAAATTGTTAGAGCAAATCTTACATTTACCCTTCATTTATGCTATACTGTTGTCTTAATGTTTTTAAACATTACGGTTATATTCGTAAAAGTCACTTGTAGCTTGTTCGCAGATTCGCTCTTCAGTTGATACCTTTTGTGGTTGGTAGCGGATAACTGACTGTAGCGACAGTCAAAAGACGGTCTAAGGTACTTTGTTTGGCAAATTGCCAAGCAAACAAAAATTAATTTTAGAAGAAGAAAAAAGCTTATGGAATTGAAAGGCTGATAAATATTTTAAAAAAAGTTTTTTTTTTTTGAAGAAAAAAACAGAAAAAAACTTAAATACATCAAAAATTGTGCTTCTAAGCGTTAAATAATACGCGCAACTTAACCATTACAAGTTTTTAATGGTTTAACAAAGTTGTTAGTTTTCAACTTACACAATAGATAACTAAACTTAGTCATCATTATATTTCACATAGTTTTATAACGGTTACCAACTAACGCTTTAACTTATTTTCCTTTTCTTTCACCATTTCCCCTTTTTTCTCTTCTAAATTCTTTGCTATTAACACTTTTGTAGCCATTGATAAAATGGAAAATAAAATGCTGCAAACTTACAGGAAGACAAGAACATTAAAACAGCGGCTAACTAATTCAAAAACTAAAAGACTTATCAGTGAAAAAAAGAAACTGTTATTTTAAAAAAGAACGCCTAATTTTGATTTACAGTTGTGAAGCAGAGATGAAAGAATGGCAGTGACTAACAGTATAGTTATTTTTGTGGCTAAATTCGCAACAATAACGGAAACGAGTTAAAATTATTTATAATAACAATGAGTTTTTATTTCTGTTTGCTTTCAATAGCTATGCTTTTTTTGATCTGGTTTAATACTTAGATGGTAGTAAAGGAAATTTTTTTTGCTAAATAAGGGAAAGGCGAAACAAAGGTTGAAATTAAAAGACCAATATTTATTGTCGGTTGTTTAACATGTATTAGATCTGTTGTGTATCAGATTATCATCATCAACATCATAATCATATCATTCATATTTTACTAGAATCCTGTTTTTTTTTTCGTTTATTCACACTGCTAGTTAGATAAAATGCTATTCTTCAGATGAAGATGTAGAAAAATAAGAAAAAGACGAAGAAGATGATGATGATGGTGAAGACAAAAAATGCAAACAAAGTATCATCATCTTCGTTAACGGCAGCAGCTGTGGCAGCAGCAGTGGTAACAGCATCATCTTCATCATCATCTTCATCATCATCTTCATCATCATCTTCATCATAACCATCATTTGCCAATAAAATATTATGCTTCGCATAACATTTACAAGACTTAATATACATATGTAATTGAAGAAATACAATGAAAAATTAAGCTATTGAAGCACAAGCGAAACAAAGCAAAAAAAAACATGGAGAAAGCAAAAGCTGCTGGTAAACAACAAAGTTTTTTTTTTTTTGTCATAATAAAAATGCCTGTAATATCTTGCAAAAAAATTATTTTTACCAAAAGATAAAGA